TGTATATTCATATAGGCGTAAAAGACGCTTCTATATGTATATAAACAACAAAAATTGATACATTAAATTCATTGTTATTTAAATATTTTTAGGAACATATGCGAAATATCTTGCACAATCTTCTTAAAAAGAAGATTGGATATGTCAATCTAGTTAGTGATAATATTAATATGATATCTTTGAGAGAAGAAGCTGCGGAATGGGCATGTTTCTTTGGTGATGAAACATGTAGAGAAACAGCTTACAAAGAATTCCAAAACTACATGATTCTTATTTCTAAACACAAGTAGTTTATTGTTTAAACATGATTTTGATTGTTAGATTTTGTATTTTACACGATGCTGTATTTGTTATTCATTCAAGACATGAGATAATAATTTAAATAGAATAGAATTTTTAACAGATTTTTATATATATTCTTTTTTTATACTGTAGAATTTCATCGAAAAAATGGGTAGCCTGTGGAGCTTTAATGAACAATACTGATGCTTGGTATACTATGTATCATTTATACAATAAAATCTCTGATAATGTAATATTAGAATATTTGCCTTGCATTAAAGAACCAGTTGTAATCAAGGATTATTTGAAAATAATAAGATCGAAAAGCGAAATATCAGACAATAATTACAATAATATTTTTTTTTCTGCTATTGCATATCATGCAAACAATGATGACATGCTTTCTTTCATACTTACAAATTTTGAAGTAGTAAAACCCAGGTAATGATATTTTTTTTATCAATACGTACTACAGTGTATATTATAAAAATCCATGTAATTAGTTATAAATTCCTTTCATTTTTTCTGTAGAGGACTCAACTTCTTGAACATAATAAGGCGTATTATTAGACATATGTACACCGAAAAACAATTTGCAATGGTAAAATGTTTCAAATTTAAGCACTACATTCATTTTTTAGCTTTTCATTATTAAGTTTGTCTTTATCTCTACATATATGTCTTGTATTGTATATGTTATCTAATATTAATTGATAATATATTAAAAATGTAAATTCACGTTATTTTGTTTTATCGTATAGACTGCAAAATTGTTAATTAATATTAATATAATTTATTTTAGATAAATGATTATGTGAAAAATAAACAAAAACATCTAATTTCGGATGTAAAATACGAGATAGATGACCACTTGTCTGAAACAAAAAATTTATTAGATTGTTTTCAGAACTTGAGGGAATCAAAATCACTCGAATATTCGATGAATTTTGATTATGTTGATATCATCAGAATGAATGAGTTAATATGTATTAAGTAAGTAAATTATAACAATTAAAAGATAAGTTTTATCGCATATTTCGAAATTCTAAAATAACAAAACTATACACAAATTAAAATTAATGTTAATTAAAAGTTACATTAATTTTTTAATACGATTTTTGCGTCATATTTCTATATTAATTAATTTAGAATTTATATTTTCATAAATATTAAATTCTATGTAATAAATATACATCTATCGCTTATGATAATTAAATGTATAAAAGATATTCTATGTTTATATTTCTTACATTCTCTCTCTTTCCAAGAAAATAATATTTTAAAACAATAAATTATGTAATGATTTTTTATATTTTCTGTTTTAGGTAAGCTTTGCAAAAGGTGTTTCTCTTTTAAAATCTTTTTATATATTGATGAAAGTTTAAATATAATTGTTAAAAATCGAGAAGTATTAGTTATTTTCAGAGTTTTTTATGAGAGTTTTTATTGACGATATTAAATGTATAATTACTTATATATGTTTATATGTATAGACATATATAAATATGTATAGATATGTAAATAAAGTTTTATATTTTACTTATTTTACTCTTATTTTCAATTATATTTTGTTCATTAATAATTAAAATAAAGTAAAATTCTCTCTTCTAACTAGTCCATGTAACGCTGCAAAGCATTTGTAGTGAGACTTTGACCACAGCTAATGTCGTCGATATACCAATATTTACTACAAACTTTAGACATTGCTATGTATTTATATATAAAATTCCATAAATAATAATTAATAGTAATAATAATAAATTCACATTTATAAAAAGTTGTATTTATATTATTTATGTTTACGATAAAAAATAAATAATTTATCATCTACCACTGTGATATCAAGAGAAGCACGGTTGTATCGAAGAATCATGTACTTATATAATATGAAAGCTATATATATAGTTAATTCTAAGATCCTTAGATTAATTCAATAAAATTGCTAAATCAAGTTCTTATTTAATTTTTATTTAATTTAATTAATGACTTAGGATTAAATTATGATAAATTTATATGAGAAACTCTGAATATTATGCATCATAAAATGTATAGATTTTTGTTACTTATTATTACTACTTCGTCAAACGGTTCACAATTTTCTTATTTAACAAACATGTTGTCAAATTACTTTTGAAAAGAAAAGCGAAAAGAGAAAAAAGCTTAATTTATTATATATTTTAATCTATATAACGTACGCGCATACATATACCTATAAATAAAACATGAAAATAATTACAACTGTTAAATCACATATATATATATATATATAT